TGCGGAAGGAAAATGGAAAGAATGCCTAAAGAAAACGATTAGCGGAAGAAAAGGATGCAAACTCTCTGCTTCATACTTCTAAGCGGAATCGAACATCGATAGTAGTGATAACCGTTTAAAGGAAAGAGAAGTTCCAAAGAAGGGTAAAGTTTAGGCTGCTGCGCGTACCATAGGGAGAGTGTCGTCTAAAGCGCGCTTGTTTTCCAGATTTCATACTTAACCCTCCTTTTGGTTCATTAGTGGAAAGAATCCAATTTTTACTAAATAAATACGTAGAAGTTAAAATCTATATGAAACTGATATAAACTAGAAGTTGTGTACTAAGTAAGCGGAAGATTTTCTTCAAAAGAAAATAATGTTATACTATGATTATATGGCCAAGTGCTTGTCAAAATTGCATGAAATCAATAGGCTTTTGTTTGCGAGCGCTACATTTTAGTCAGCAAAATTCATTATGCTATTACAACACTTTGTTCTGGCAAAAGGGATGCTTGCCATTTTTTATTTTGAAAAGAAAGTTCTACATTTTTGAAGTTTGGTGATTATAAGTAAAATGGCTATGTAGTAGATAACAGGAATGCATTCACAAACACTGACCTTATCACAGAGGAACCGCTTCCAGTTTTTCCCGGCATTAAATTAGTCACCCGGCGTTCTCGACTACTGTTTCAGAAACAGCGAAGTCTGTTTTTCAACTTTAAACTTCCTTTTTGTATAATTTGAAGGCGGTGGTATGCGGTGTTTCTTGAACTGTCTTCCCATAAACTTCCTAATAAGAATTAACAGTACAAGGTAGTAGGTGATTAATGGTAAGCATATCATGATGGTATTAGTCAAAAAAAGTGTTCAAAATCATCAAAACTCTCCTGATTCCCAAAGCAGTCATTATAAGCATTTGTAAATGCAACTTTGCCTTACTTTCTCTCGGAATGCAGGCCTGGAACCACCCAGCCCGGTGTGAAAGGATTTAAAATGAAGCCATTTGAATTAAAGGTACCTTGACTC